CGGTTCGTGACTAAGAACCCCAAAAATTTTCCGGATCCCACGCCAAAGGCACATTTTGATGCATTCAAGCGCAGCTGGTGCTTCTTTAAAATGGCAAACATCTCGGCTAAGTCGGACAAATGGTTTGCCTCATGTCGGCTCTTTACCACCATATCATCGATGTAAGCCTCCATTGTACGGCCGAGCAAAGGGGCAAACATTTTGGTCACCATCCTCTAAAAGGTTGCCCCGGTGTTCTTCAAACCAAAAGGCATGACTCGATAGCAGAAGAGTCCCCTTGGTGTCGTGAAAGAGGTGATCTCTCGGTCAGGCCCATGCATGGCGATCTGATGGTAGCCGCGGTAGGCATCCAAGAAACTGAGCCTATTGTGTCCAGCCGTCAGGTCCACAAGCTGGTCAATTCGTGGCAAGGGGAAGCTATCTTTGGGACAAGCTCGGTTGACTGTCTTATAGTCGACACAAACTCGCCACTTTCCATTCTTCTTGGGCACCACGACAGTGTTGGAAATCCACCGAGGGTAGTGCACTTCCTGTATTGCTCGTGCCTCAAGCAGGTTCTTCACCTCCTCTGCAACTACCTCGGCGTGATGCAGTTCCGATCTCCTTGTTCGCTGGATGACTGGCTTCGCTCCAGGGAAGACATTGAGGTAATGGCAGATAAAACTTGGATCGGGACCAGGCATGTCGTAAGGCGACCACGCGAAGACTTCGATGTTGGCCATCAAAAACTCAACCATCTCAGTCCTTTCTATGGCCGTGAGACTTGAGCCGAGCAAGAAGAACTTGTCCGGCTGTTCTGTATCAATTCGCACTTTAACCAATTCCTCAACAGCCTTGTCCTCGGCCTTGGTGCCCACATCATCCAGGACACCCCGGTCCTCCGGTCCCTCAATCATTTGAACGAATCCTTTGGCAGCCCGGCTCCCGTTGACCCCCACGAAGCACTGCTTGGACATGACCTGATCGCCCCAAATCTCCTCGATTGCCCCCATAGCCGAGGGAAATCTCATCACCTGGTGGTAGGTCGACGCTACGGCTTGCATAGCGTGAAGCCATCCCCTTCCAAGGATAAGGTTGTACGTCGAAGGCACTTGTAGCACCCAAAACTCCACTTGCTTGACCACGGATCCGGCTTTGACCGGCAGGATAATCTTTCCCAAGGGCCACTCCGGTTGCGAGTTAAATCCAACCAGTGGCGAAGTCGCCGAAGCCAAGTCTGTCTCACGGAGTTTGAGCTGCTTGAACGCATCATAATACATGATCTCGACCGAGCTTCCCTGATCGATCAAGATCCGTCTAACATCAAATTCTTTGACGCGTAGTGTTACTACCAGGGCATCGTTGTGCGGCGTCTGGATACGTTCTAGATCCCTTGAGGTGAAACTAATCACGTCTTTTTCTTCTGTCTTCCCCCTTTTGATGGCAGGTTGTACCGACAAAACTTCCCGCATATGTTCTGCCTTTTTTATCATGCCCCGGAGTTCGCAAACACGCTCCGGTTCTACGATGCCGTGGATGACATTAATGACCCCCTGTGGTGGTGCGTCTCGTTCATCCTGTCCCCTGGGATCGACCGGAGCCTGATTCGGCTTTACTCCGCCGTTAATGTAAAAGTCTAGATGCCCGGCCGCGACCAGCTCTTCTAAGTGTTGCCTCAAAGGCAAACAATCCTCAATCCAGTGGCCTCTCTCCCGGTGAAATGTGCAACGATACCACGGATTGTAGCTCTTCTGCCCATCGCCCAACTTAGCAGGAAACCGGACATACTCCTCGTCTCGGATTTCACTAAGTATGCGATAGATTGGAATCTTGAAGACAGTGGTTATGCCAGTCCTCGCCTTCAACCTTCTGTCAGCATCCGCCACATCATCTCGGGCATAGTCATCCCGGTCGTTCCGACGTCCTCTACCCCGGTTTTTGTGATTCGAGCCACGGTCTGATTCCTCTGCTCGTTCATTTGCGCTGTTGGACTCTTGCCCAACTGCGTGCACCTTGCCTGCTGTCTTCTTGTCTGTTGCTACCGGTATTGCCTTCACAGTTGAAGCTGACGCGTCATCCTCTACTCTGATGTGCTCATTGATGCGCTGCATGAGCTGGCCCATGGAGGTCGGTTGGTGCATGGTCAGCGAGTCCCGCAATCTGTGGCCGACCGGAAGACCACGCTTATATTGCGTGATTGCGAGGTTGACCGGCCAATCCAAGATCTCGTTGAAGGTTTCCCAGTACCTTGAGTTGTACGCCTTCAGTGTGTCGCACGGTTCCATCTTGACACTTAGCAAGTGATTGACTTCCTTTGGTGTTTTTGTGTTGATTTTGAAGCGAGTAACAAACGCCTCGGCCAACTGATGCCACCTTTGTATGCTCCCTTCCGGCAACCTCTCAAACCACTTTAGGCCTAGCTCGCCTAAACTTGACGGGAAGACTAGGCACATAAGTCCGTCATTTCGCCTATGTCCGGCCATAACCTGTCGAAAGTGGCTCACATGCATGTAAGGATCGGTTTTTCCGTCGTAGAGTGTGAACTTAGGCTGGTGGAAGCCTGCCGGAAGTGGTGTTGTTTCTATTTCCAGGGAGAAAGGGGTGGCGCTCAGCCTGGCCAAGTCCGTATCTTCAAAGAGTGGCACTGCTTGGCGGGGTGGAGGCATTCCGACCTCCTCGCTGGCATGAACCCCATAGGATAACCGCTGGAACGCCGGTATTCTCTGAGCTTCGCACCGGCAGGCCCGCTCCTTTAAGACTGCCCGTAGATCCTCTGAATGAGCAGAGTAAGAGTACCTCGACGTCGTTCCCAGACGTGAGGGTTTGTAGGTGTTGTCTTGCGCGCTAGACTTCTCTGCCCCCGCGTCGGAATCACCAACGAAACTAAAACTTAGATTAAGGTAATTTTATGGTTAATAAATTAAGGTGTTTAGGTTAATTTATAATAATTTTATATTTAATTAAAAAAGTTATTAAATAAAAAATTGGTTTAAAAATAAAAATTAGTTTAAGGTAATTTTATGGTAATAAATTAGGGTATTTAGTTTAATTCTTGATTTAATTTGTTAAATATGTGATCAAGATAGAAAATTATATGTATTACAAAAAAGAGAAATAGAATATAACATAGGAGTATTTAGGTAATTTTACCCTCCTTTTATTAGAGTTAACTTTACATTTTAGTCCAAAATCATAAGAAGATTCTCTACCTATATTTGAATTATCAGCAGTGATTTAGACCCCCTCAAATTTCAACCCCCACCACTCCCACACACACGTGGCGGGTGGCGATTGGAGAAGAAGAAAAAAAAGAAAAAGAAAAAGAAAAAGAAAAAGTGACCAATCAAAAAAAAAAGGAGTCAAAGGAGGTGGGGAGGAAAGGGAGTCCCAATCTTTATTCTTGAATTATAAAGTGTGCGGGGAGCAAATATTCCGGCAAGCCCGTACTCCTTTCTTCCGAGCTCCGTCACTGTCTGATCACCTGCGAGCCAATAAGGGTGAGCTACCCGGCGATGTGTGGCCGGAAAAACCCTCCGACGATCAAGTTAGCACACACCTTAGGATAGAGAGAGAGAGAGAGAGAGAAGTTTGAGTGTAAGAAATTCCTTACAAAGTGTTCATCCGTCGCGTATGGGGGGCGCAGACATGCTTATATACCCTCTGTGCCCCATATCTACTCCCAGCCATCTCCTGACACGTGGCTCCGATATCCCATCTGTCAGCATAAACCTTACTCAACACCAGCTAACCCAACTGCCAGCCCACTCTACTGGGAGCTTGGCAGCCGGGCTGCAGCTTCTCGACTGCCAACAGCCATACTGCACTTCAAGACCAAGTGCTTCCAATAACCGAGCTTCGTTTCAGCCGTGCTCGACCGCATTCCGGCGACACCGAGCACGGGACTGGTCATTCCGGTCAACCAAAGGCCTTCCTACCGAGCTTCAGGCACGAATCTTCACGCCGAGCTATGGGTGCGCGTCTTCCGACCGAGCAACGCACGAACCATGAAGCCCTTCTAGGCCGCGGACGTCTCAGCCGAGCTCTCACTTGACCGGCCTTCATACCAAAGAGCCCAAGTAGCTCGGCTCCGCAGACCCTTTGCCATTACTGAGCAAAACCACGACACAATCTTGAAGCCAAATACCTCGGCCCAATCTTGTTTGATTATAAATCTCCCTTTCAATAGTCCATCTTTCGATGCAATGTTTCTCAATAATATTATAGGACAATCCACTTTCAACTCTAACTTAAAAGTTGGTAACCCAGGAGGATCCAATGAATTTAAATATTCATTAGGATATCTATTTGTAATGGTAGGATCAATTTCATTATCTTCAGACATTTTATCTGCTGCAAGATAAGTATATAATCTCCCTAGAAAGACATTCAACGCAGTAGTATTAATGTCACTGACATCATCGTTACACGCAGACAGAATTGTGCGTTCAGTTAAAAATGTTGGGATTGGGGTTGACGTCTCTATCATATTCAATTGTGGATAAACTATAGAGAGTAATTCATTCAAATCTTGACATCTGTGTATTGTTGATAGAAGGTTAACAATTTCTTGAGGATTGGTCCCAATCTAAAAAAAAGTGAAATCAATAAAAAAGTAATTAGTGTAAACACAATTTATTAATTTAAAATAATCTATACAATACAAGTTAAAGTAGTGTTACCTCCATCAAGAAATTTGCAAAATTAACATTTTCATGGCCTTCATGATTCAAGCGCATATTCAAATCCAAAGTCAAGATATATATATATATATATATATGCTTCCATAGAACAAAGTGTCTTAATGATGTATTCATAATTTGCTCACGAACTCCTTTGGGTATAACTGGTAAGATTTGTCGAAAGTCTCCACCAAGAACAACAGTATTATCCCCAAATGGCTTTTCACTATCACAAATATCCCTCAATGTACGATTAACCGCCTCAACACAATGTCTATGTTGCATAGGAACTTCATCCGAAATTATGAGTTTTGTTTCTCTAAATAACTCAGCTTGTAATGATTATTTGCTAAACCCACAAAGTGAATTTTCCAAGACATCTAACGGGATGAAAAATGTTGAATGTGCAGTGCAACGTCCTACCAGTAACAATGATGCAATTCCAGACGAAGCCACAGTAACAATGATATGCCCAAGGCTGCGACATTTTAATGCAATCGTATTGTACATAAATGTTTTTCCTGTTCCAGCACCCCCATTCAGAAAGAAAACAGTTCCTTTATTTTGAAAAACTGAAGAAGTGATTGTATTATAAGCATTCCGTTGTCCATTATTGAGACAATCAATAGTAATTTGTGGATCTGCATGTTGTGCCTCACTCTGCAGTTGTTGATGTTCAACTATCAATCGATTACTGAATAGTTTTGAGAACATCCCTTCTCAAGTTAGGATTTCTACGATTACGAATTTCTAAAGCTGAATAAGGGTCATAGATATACAGCTGAGCAAAAAGATGGAGACCATAATCTTCAATTTGAGCCTCAGTTGGTTTAGAAATGACAAACAATGTACAAATCTTATGTGCAAGATCATCACATATATGCGTTGAAAATTGATTCCATAATGCACATGGATTTAGTGGAGAGCACTGTGTGAGAATAATACTAAACAATCTCTTCAATTGATATCCAGTTTTTATGACTACGGCCTCTTTCAAGCATTGTATCCATTCTTCATCATCTTCTAAAAGCCCCCTTGCAACACATGCTAATTTAAATGTATCATGCACAACATTATCGATCGTGCGTAAAGATTGAAACGACTTTGGTCCTTTGACAACGGTTAGTAACAAACGTAGATAAAATCTTTCACTACAATTAGGGCTAGCGAAGTGCATTCTAACAATTGCATATCCCCTTTCTCTTGATTTCCATCTATTTTCTGACTTGAGCCAAACAAAATGTTGTGGGAATTCTTGATAAGTGAATGGACATTCATCTTCATTGGCAGCACAATATGCAAAGAAGCTAGTAAGAGTTGACATTTGTTGACCAGCTCTAGATTGAATCATTTGTAATGACTCTTCTGGAGCACGATGCATTCCAGGTAAATGAAGTGTCAATCGTACAACTGTTGGCATCTCTGCATGCAAAGGATGACTAAATATTCGCCAAACAGCTTCTGGAGGTCCAATGTACCTTGCATCGAGATATTGTTGAATCTCATTTATCATTCCTAACACCATCGTTGTACGATCATAACCCTTATAAATGCACTTATGTATATACTTGACACATCTCATTCTGGCACAAACTTCCACATTTATATGACAGTTGAAAAGTTTTGAAAGATATGCATTGTATGGTACGACATCCTTGTTATCAACTTCTTGCCCCCTCACAGTATGTACTTGACCATTATTACGACGACGATAGATAGGGTATCCATCTTGATCCATAGTTGTTGTTTCTGTGAAAGCTCGAGGGTATCTCTTAGTGCATCTACCATTTCCCATACATGGTGCTTGCGGATTTCGAGCACCACATGGTCCATGTACCATACAACATTTGATAGTTTCAAAAAGCATAGGATCATCTTTTGGGTCTGGAAATTCTGCATAGACCAATTTGTTTATTTGAGCACATGTCCGAATTTTGTCTGGACCCTTGAGAAATAAAAGTGCATGCATATGAGGGAGTCCTCATTTTTGAAATTCAATTGTAAAAACATGTGCAACTTTATTTCCAAATACTTTATTTGTTTATATCTCCTTCATCAAACATTTTCTCTTCAACTCAAAAACACGGGCAATTAAATCAGGACGATCAATAGGTTTTTGATATGGTAATAATGCTGAAGTAATTTCTGGCCAATTGGGATTTGCAGTCATGGTAAGAAAAATATCTGGGTGTTGGTTGTATCATGTGATAGCCATTGAATCTTGAAAGATTTCAAACATATGTCTAGGACTACCTGTAAATGAAGATGGCAAAACAAACATTTGACCAATTTGTCCAGGTCGCACATAATTTGGATCCATATCTGACAACTCTTGGTAAAGCTCAGCCCGAAGTTTCCCTTGATTAAGCTTGTAGTATATCTATCGATCTTGCTCAGTTGCAGCCCAAGCATCTACCAAAAACTCTTGAAATAGTTTCCCACCTCTCAAAATTGTTGAATACTCTGTGGGTCGTTCAAACAAACGATAACTATAAAATTCATCTGAGTAAGTCGATCAGTTGAAGGTTGATCATACTGAACATTCCACAATTTCAACTTAGGTTCCCATCCAAGCTCACCATATGGAAATAATAGAACATAATGTAGTGGCAAGTATGCTGGGTGACATTCATTAATTTGCATCAACTCATTATTTCCTCGAAAATGTAAGATAATATCTCTCATTCCATTTATCTCTGTTCCATCACCTGGTATTACAATTGCAATCTCATCTGTAGTTGGTAGGTTATACCGACGTCGATCAGTTATTGAATTGTAATGAAGATGAGCATGTAGATTGTGTCCTGCCGAGTCTAATTGATGTAAAATGGCATGAGCCTGGCGATATTTATCTACAAATGCATTAACTTGCAACAAACTATCTTGAATAGTTTTGAGAACATCCCTTTTCAAGTTACGATTTCTATGATTACAAATTTCTAAAGCTGAATAAGGGTCATAGATATACAGCTGAGCATAACTCTCATCCTACCCTAGTTGTAGTTGTAGTGATCCTGTTCGATGTCGCAATTGCCCATAAATTGTGAATGATGTAGGGCCTCTTCCACTGAGTACTCTAGGATCCAATGTAGTACCAAGACTCGTAAAAGCATTGGCTGCATTGTACACTCGAGTGTAACTTCGAAAGGATTTTGATTGATCATTATTCCCATCATACAATGCCTGAAGTGCTGGAGGGGGTGTAATAAGTAAAGATAGCCTAATCTTTCCTTCCAAACAGCAAGTTCCGAATAAGGGACGCTTTATAGATGATTTTGTCAATTTTTCATCCATCCAATGTAAGGCTAAACAATAAGGACATAATACATCCATTTTCCCGAGATAATGGCGGCAAGAATCTGTGTGCCCGGGCGTTAATTGATATACTCGTAGGCAGATCTTCTAATTCATCATCAGTACATAGATCTTATTGAAGAAATCGATTTGTAGGAGTAGACCTACGAATATTTGTATATAAATAAAATTCTGTAAAACAAAACGGTATGAATAAAAGTATGTATTTCAAGATTAGACACAGTAGTTTACCGATTCCTTGGTGGAGCTAAAGATGTGCTTGGCATAGAAAACGAACATGTAGAATGATGGGTAACCATTGTTCGTTTTTGTGCCGAATGAGAATCTTCAGTTATTGTTTCCCACTCCAAGCAAGTGCGATCACGACGAATTTGTGTTAAAGAACGTTGTCTTAGTTGAACACATTCTTCTAATCTCTCTTGTTCTCGTTGTAAGCATTGAAATTCAAAGTATGACTTTTCAATTTTTTCACACTCTCGCCGTGCCCGTTGGACCAATGCAGCTTTTGATATTACATTATCATTTTGTGCTTAAAATGAAAATATTTTATCATTAAAGCAAAATATGTGAATATTTTGTGCTTAAAATGAAACTATCTTAATTTTATTTTCTATTTTATTTGTTTTATACATTTAATAGTGTTATCTTTATTTCTTCCCTTTCTATCTTTTTATTTCTTCCCTTTCCCTTTCCCTTTCTTTGTTTTCTATTTTATATATAAATAAGAATTAAAAACCTATCTTATTTAATTTCTCCTTTCTTTATATATTTTTTCTTTATTCCTTCGTTTCTTTTTTCCTATTCTCTTTACATAAGTAGCAACTTATGGATGGTACATTATAAATCCACATGTATCCATGCAAAATAAAAATGAATAAATTTGAAAAACACATACAAATAATAGCAAGTTACAAGAAAACATATTACAATCATTCTACAAAAACAACATAAAACAATAAATTCATTTTATACGCTCATATCTTTTAACTATTCAAAATTTTGATTAGTTTTGCATCATATTTTTAAAAAAGAATATATACCACTTGACATGCATTTGTCATTCTCTTGCCGGAAGGAGCCATCTTTTCTTTTCCTTTAAACATTGGGTTGACCTTTTCTTTTTCTTTTACCTAACAAATATAAATAAAATATTCAAAAGATTAAAAAAATCTTATATAATATTATATAAATAAAATACATACAATGTTTGACTTGATTTTGTGCTTACCGCACGAACACGGATAACATTAAGGTCATGCTCATCACGGATGACCACACCAACATTTCTAGATGGAGTATTAGGAGGAGGCCTACAGAAATAAATTGTGAACAAATTAAAATCTATATAATAAAGTGGTAATAGTAAGAGTAAAAAATTCAAGATTGTCTTGGGTAAAAAATTCTTTTTCTTTAACCAATTTGGTGTTAAAGAAGATTGTCTTGGGTTAATACATTCATTCGATCTTTCTCTTTCTCGTTCTCGTCGCAGGCGTTGTCCCAATTGGTATGCAAAACATGGCTTTTGATTTTTTTCACGTTCTCGCCGTGCACTTTGGGCCAATGCAGCTTTTGATAACACATTATCATTATGTGCCTAAAAGGAGAATATTATATAAGAAGGTGCATAAAATGTGAAGATTAACTAACTTGCTTCCCTTTCATCATGTATTTTTTCTTCCTTTTAACTAACTTTTTCTCTTCACTCGGTTAAATTGCTAGTCATATAAGAACCAATGCATGTATTGATGAAATTTAAAAAGGGAGGGAAAAATAATTTGAAAACACATTAAGCACACAAAACTGCAAACTCACTATGCACGCACTTATTGATTTAAAGACACTACTCATCTCTTTACAAAATGTACGTTGAAAATGAAAATATTGGATCATTGGGTACGTAAAATGTGAATATTAGCGTATAATGTCTTGTACTTTCCTTTTCACTCTTCTTGTTGTTTCTGTCATATTAAAATGCATTTTTGTCTTTTTCTTCTTTCCTTAAGAACTTCTTATAAGAAAAATAAAAATTAAAAAAAATTATATTCTGTAGTTTCCTTTTCATCACATATTTGTTCTTTCTTCTTATTTTCCTTTTTCGTTTTCTTCTATTATATTTTTATTATGCTATGTTGTAGATGCAACATATTGTACAAACGCAATATATTTGTATCATATAAATAGACAAACATATTAAAAATTCAAATTAATGTCCATACAAATGCATTAGAATGTTGTCCAAATGCTTACTTTAACATGTTTCAAAAAAACTTTTCACATTCAATAAAAAGAATTGAATAAATTTTTGAAAAAGAAACTTTTGAAAAATGTACATAAAAAAGAGTATATGACACTATACAACTCTTAAAAAAATTTATATAATATTCAAAAAAGAAACTTTTAAAAATTGTTGCGAAACTATACCATGAGATGTGCATTTTTCTTTCCTTTGCCATAAGGAATAGCTTTTTTTGTTTCTTTTGATATTGTTTTGTCTTTTTCCTTTGCCTTTGCCTATAAAAAATAAGTAGAATATATTTATAAATTATTTTTAAAATGATAAGAAAATACATGTCCAATGTTCAAGTGATTTTTAGGCTTACCTCATGAATGCGAATAGTATTAAGGTCACGCTCATCGCGAATAACAACCTTAACATTTCTTTTTTGAAGAAATCGAACCTATACATACAAAAACTTTAGAGTGATAAATAAAATTTTATACACATAAATAAGAAAATTAGTAATGGGAGGTGATATTACGGTTCGGTGTAAGTCCCCATCCACTTATAAAGTATAAGGAAAAAAAATAATTAGAATAGTGATATTATCCATAACAGTTGTACTTAAATTTATAAGAGAGGTACTTAAATTTATATGAAGAGAAAAAAGAAGAAAAAAATCTTACTTGACCAAAAATAGTGATATGGTTCATAACTGTTGTACTTCAACCTAAAAATGTTTAGTTATATAATTTTAGACACAAAGAAACACCAAATTAGCAATAATAAAAGTTAACATGGATTTCATTGGTAATGAAATGTTTTTTCCAAATCTATTGCTACCAAATCGAATAATAAAATTTGAACTCTTCTCTTTTCTAACTAACTTCAATTTTATAGAAATGAAATTAAAACCAAAATCAAAACCCGTTATAATCATAATCACATATTTATGCCAAAAAAAATAATTCAACAGATACCAGAGGCACGTG